AAGAGCGGTCGATAGATAATTTAAAAGATGGAGAGCCGAGAAAGTGAAAGAGCTCGGACGCCAGTTAATTTTATTGCCTCGGCTGAGCCACTGCCACCACCGCCTGAACACCGCCCCAGCTCATTGGTAATGAATAAGAATTCAGAGACCCTTTCATTTTAACTTTTGGCGGGTTGTCTATATGAACTGCTCTACTACCAGACTTAAAACGCTTTTATGTCTTTTCTCTGTAACGGTAACATTGTTTCCATCGTTTTGGTCTGATTGCATTGCAATTTCGCTTTGACAAATCTGCCGTTTTGGTCTGATTACACCGCCCAGCCCATTAATTTCGTCTCCTTACTCCTCTTGGATCTGGAATTGGAGAAAACATTTTTCGTGTCTATACAAAGATTTTCTGGGTAGAATAACGATGATAACAAAACATTTTTCATTTATTTTGTCAAGGTAGTTAATCAATTTATAGTGTGTATCATTGACAATGATATATAATATTACAGTTTTACATGTTTAATCGACCAGCGCAATGCCTACGAGCTATGGTTATGCGTAAAGCCAAATATCAAGCTATCAGGGAGGATATGTGGTGATTGTCCGGCGCGTGAAGGATACTCGTGAGAGGAGCGCGTAGGTGTGATTAAAGCTGAACGCTTTTTACGGGATCGACCCATTGCCATTACTAATGAAGCCCAACAATGCTATCATGAATTATTGTTTATCACGGACTTGAAAAGCAGAAGCACAATGGGCTTAGGGAAGCAGGGCCTAATGAATTTTACAGATTAAAAGAGGAGTAGAAGCCACGAAGGACAGGCTAAAGCAGGAGAATAGCACAGTAAGCATGTTGAATTTTACAAGCGAGATTGCAAAGTAAGCATGCCTAGAACATATGAAGCAACCGATATATTCCCAAGCAGTTTGTCCAAATCCCCTAATACCAACGAGGAGAAAATCCAAACTTGGCCGTTACCTCCTCCCATCTAACATCTGCCATGTGCAAGGCATATCCAGCATTGACTTGGAACAAATGAGGCGGCATCGGTGTCTGGCAGTCCGAGAGAAGGGTCTCAGCGAGAAAGTATGAAAATATGATACTGCAATCAATGGAAAGTTCACTGTGATTACTGTTCTCTCTCGGGGATTAGCTTGAAGCAATCCATATGCATAGGTGCACCCACACTTCATCACATTCCCGACCCTGCTGGAATCAGATACTGCCAGATTAAGAAAACAACACCGTCCTCTGAATTTGAGAGGTAGAGATATGCTGTACAGTGGACAGATTAAAACAAAATTCCTTTCAGGCACACTTCTTGAGTCTGAGGACAAACATCACAACAGACAGGACAATAGTTCTTAGTGGAGTTCCCAACCCACGGGTATTTATTGCGCAAGCTCGATGACTAACTAGCCCTGTGATATTTGCGCATAAGAGCGTATCAGTCAGAAATTTCGCGTTGATATACAGCTCTGGGAAAACGGTTAAACTTCTAAAGAAAGCAGTTTAAATGGCACTGACATCAACTAGAAAAAATTATAACCATTTCCCAACCTGAACCTAAACATAGTCCTGATAAAAACACTTGCAATCTACATAGAAGCCTTAGCAAGACTATACAATTACTGAAGAGCGGGTGGAACAAGAGTTACCACAGAAACATAGTGAGAGGATTAAAAATTCAATACTTAGCTGTAAGGCAGCAGTCCCTTCAGATGTATTTTCAGTCTCTCAACACTTGTCTGAATGATTCTTGTCCCTTGAGTATAGTTGATGGGCGCAACTAACTTACGCACTATCAATGTCTTGAGAGTTTGCTTTATTGGGCTTTAAACTGTTGAGAGGCAAGAAGAATCCAACGCATGCAAGTAGTTAAGGGTTTCAATTCAGGCAGTAAAAGAAGTTATTGCGACTACCAAGACAACATGAGTTCAAGTTGTTTCAAACATTGTTATGTAATTAAACAACAGTTTTCATGATCTCTTCACTAACCTTTAGTATGCAGATTCCACAATCATCGCAATGGAACTGCACACAACAACAAGCAGGCACTTGAAAAATAAACAAGGCAGACTATAACACAGCAAGGAGACGATCTGGTTGCAGCAAGGAGCTCGGCTTCTGCACCGTATCATTTAACGGTTGCATCTGATAACACCAAAACCGCCAAACAAACAGGGAAAATTTACGAAACGAAAATCAGAGATTCCCAGAAGAAAAGAAAAAAAAAACCTAAAATCCAAGGACACGACTCAGAAGGAAGGCGAAGCAATCAAAAGGAGAGATAGCGACATATAGCGGCTAATGGCGACGTTACCCGTAGTCGATGTCTCTGAGACATCCAGAATTCTCCTTCCACTGATTTGAAGATCGGACGCTTAGGGCATAGAGAATTGTCGACTAGCACTCAAGAGCACGCGTATTCGCAGAGAATTGAAGACTCACCCAATTGTCACATTACGCGTGTCATCAACGTTGTGGGCTTTGATTTGGGCCTTTTTGGGCCGAAGCCCTAACTGACAACGAGGCACAATTGCAAAATTTATTTTTTGGTAAAAAAATCGATTAAATGGTATATTACTATTTTACCCCCATTTTTTTCTTCTAAAGATACTCATGTAATATGAAATGGAAACTATATGGATTTAATGCTCCGTTTTGAACGGAATGAAACGCCGTCGGGATACGTTTGTATCTTTGGTACAGATGTAAAATAAAGTGAACACACACGCATATATATATATATATAGCAACTGAATTAACTTACAATAATTTTAGATATACACGATTTTTTATGATGGGTCTTAATTTGCTTTCCGAATTTGGAGTGAATTTTAGAGAATGATAATTAAGTTTTTTTTATGACAATATTTTTTGAATGCCCGACGAATAACCTTTTCGACAGCGACAGCAAGTGGATGTGCTTCTTGCACGTCCTGAAGCGAAACCCTTTCGCTTTGATTCTCCAACATCCAAAGAAATAGGAGTTACAGGAAAGCCGTTCCACACTTCGCGCAAAGGGGATGGATGCTTCCTTCTCCTCCTCCATTTTTTCAACGCCTTTTTCTACACTATATAATTTTGTTCCCTTCTATTGATAGATGTGTTTTCGAACCTAGAATAACTATATGCCAAAATTTTATCTAAATTTGGGTCAATTCTTTTGAATAATGATTAATTTATATATCCTTAACTAAAATCCAAACTAATCTCGAGACCGAGAGCCGACCATATGCTTTGGATTATACGTTCTCTTTCCAAACTTGAGGTTCTAAATCGGATACTTTGTTGGGTCGATTCTTTTGAATATTGATTAATTTACAAATTCAGTAATATTATTCTATCTGAACTTATCTGACTTATTCTTGTAATTTGGAGTTTAAGAACCTTTGTTGTCTTCAATGTTTATACAGTCTTTGATAATAATAACACATATAATATTCGATATATAGTTGAAGGAAATGATATTTTTATGGCGAAGCTAAGCCGTTCATTACTTGATGGGGAAATAAAAGAGAAAGACGAGAGGAATTCTATGCCTCGTTATCGTGATATAAAGTTTTGGGAGAATAATTTTTGGGCAAATTTAACAATTATTGGAGAATTCATTTTTTTCTTTTCAACATTTTTAGCATTCAAACAAAATAAAACAGATTCCCTGGTTACCTACATACAAAAAAAAAACAGATACCGCGGTTATTTCCATAAGGAAAAAACAGATTCCATATGGGATTTTACCTAGGACCGCTCTAGATCTCCTCTTCTTTTAATTATTCAGAATATCAGCTTGGTCTCTCTGTCGTGTATATATATAGTATAGAGATTCCAAAATACAAAAATGTAACTTGTTCTCACGGCTTATCGATATTTTGTTCACATATGCATATATGGAATTTAATATAACGTTGTCTTTTCAGTTGGTTAGCGCATTTTGAGATGCGTACCCATAGTAATACATATATTATTGGATAATAGTTTGGGAAGATTATAAAAAAGTTCAAATATGGATTTGGAAGAAATAAAAAAGATCCGTTAAACATTTCTTTCGTTAAGATGGTAGATTAACACACATCACCAGTACAAGTACGTACTGGTTAAGATCAGGCACAGAATCTGGCTAATTAGACACGCCCTAATTAATTAGACACAACCAAGCAAGCTAAATACTAGACGGCTGAGATAAGCATAGCTATAACAAGAAATACACATTTCAGACAAGAGCTCGTGGGCGGGCTAGGGTTTCTGATACGTAATTTACGAGGCACGTGTTCCAAATGTTTTGTTATTAATCATCGCTCTCGCTAGCTCGCTACGTAAACAAGGGCTTAGTTGTGGACAGACTGATAGGGTTTGATCAAGGGGAGGAGGGAGCCACTGAGGTGGAGGGACATGACTTCGTTGGTGGAGCCAACGAGCTTGCCACTGACGAAGACGGCGGGGACGGCGGTGGAGCAGCCGAGGCGGACGAGGGCCTTCTCAATCTCGCGGAAGTCGGGGTCATTGTCGATATCGTGGATGGTCGGCTGAACCCTCAGATCTCGGAACAGGATCTGGACAGCATAGCACAGGCAACACGAGCTCTTGCTGAATATCACCACGCCTTTCTCCGACGCCATTCTCATCACCTTGTCCATTGCTCCACTTAGATCAGATTCCGACAGCAAAGAATCTGATTTTTTTATGTATGTATACACACGAGCTTCGATGTTTGTTTGAACGTAAAAAGCAGGTGGCCTGCTTGGCTATTTATAGGAGACATGTAGGAAGCTTTGGACCCGATCGTCCGTTTTGAGACGAGAACATTAAAAAAAAGTCTTTAAAATAAAATAAAACTAAATCAAGAAAAATGT